TTTTAACAAAAATCAGTTACAAGCTCGCTATCATTGTGTTTACTCAGTACTATACTGGAGGTTCTATCCAGGGCACTAGCAGAACAAACACAAATACATTTAGGAGTATTGGAAAGGAAGAAACAAGTAAGTCTTTCTTTGCAAATAACATGATTTTCCTGCTAAGGCCTTAGTGCATTTACACTAGATAGTTCTTAAACCAGACACACTCCTCTCCCAGATATCCACATGTCACCCCAATAAGGCCTCCCCCAATGACACTACCTAAAATTATAGTAGCCCCAGACTTCCAAGGTTTTTAGTTTCCTCTTCCTTTACAAAATAGTTATTAATTTATAAAAGACCTTATAATTTACAAATCAATCATGCTTATTGCTCATTGCCTGTATTCTCTCACATCCCCCACCCCAGGAGAGCAGGGATCTCTGTCTCCTCTGCAGACAAATGCTGTGGTCCCAGCAGCACGGTGCAGGGCCTGCCTATACACTTCCCAAGAGCCAGCTGTGCTTGTGTCTTCTCAATTCTGCATTCAGAAAGCCCACATCTGTAGCTTGCAACAGGCCATTTGAGACACTTCACATTTTAGAACACAATCAACTCTACAGAGCAGCCCTCACTTCCACCCCCTGAGAGGCAGTTGTTAGACATTGACCAGAAGTCACTATCCTCCTCATTTAGAACTGCATCTGCCATGTAATGGGTATTCGATAAATATTTTTTGAATAAGTAAATATGTTTGAATAATTTAGAAGGGTTCCAGTGTCCTAGCAATCAGAGCACTGACTAAATATTTTACCCAACTTAAACACATATAATAAGGTACATAACACTGAGTTAGCTTTTAAAACAGTGTTCAAATAAAATGTGCATTTTATCATAACTAGACATTTTGTATGACAAAGAAATAATTAATTGAATATTTTCTAAGGCATTTGATGTTCATTTTCCTCTTTTATTTTACATTAGGCCTTTTGACAACTAGGTAAAAATCAATTTATTTGATGTGTATTGATTTTTCATGAAGTTAATGAGAACACTTCTTGCTATGGTTTGCATATGGAGCTTTCTAATGGTAGGAATTCCCATGACGCAAACCCTTATTTTTTTTTCACACAAAAAAATTCTTATAACTATTTGGCTTACACCTAGTAATATATGAGGTCCAACATCATCTGTCAGTCAATACACGTCTGAGATTAAAAATTCAACTTAGCGAAAAATAGCTCAATTGAATGATGGTAGTCAGTTAAAATGGGAGGCAAACCAGACATCTTGTGGAGGGGCTTACTTATAAAGGATGATAATATATCAGTGAAAATAATTAGTAATACATACTGGAATTATTCAGTAATATGATGTCAGTTCAGGTCTTAGAGAAAGTCTTAAAATATTTGGATCCCTTAACCATTTGATTTAACAACTTTTATTTTTTGATTTTGAACATGTTACAGCAAACCATTATTTGCAATTAAAATCCATCCTCCAATCTCTGAGGAGAGGGAAACCTGGTAGCTTGAACAATGTTCCATTGACCTAAAACATAGTCACTCATCAACCTCAGAATACACGGAGGTAATTGACACATTATTAAAAAGCAGATGTCCGACTAGCTTGTGGATAGGAAGGTAACAGGTGTAATCAGTGTTCATTAAAAGTAAATTATTAGGAGGCCTAAAGAAAAGCTAGAGAGCTATTTGGAACTAGGAATAAACAGTATAAGTAGAAAGAGAGTGAGAGAGTGCTCAAGGAGGAAAGAGAGAGACAATCCACCATCTAGGAATTTGAGAAAAGATATGGAGAAGAAACATGTCTAATAGGATATTTCATGAAGTGCAGTGCTTTGTGAGATAGAAATTCATTTCCTTTTCCTGTAAGTAAGTCACTAAAGATTGCGTTGCTCACAAATACACAAATGGTGGACACCAGACACTTTAACTTCTTTCTGCCTCAGACTCTTTCTTTACCTGAATAATAATAGCACTGACCTCAGAGGGTTTTGTATTGTCTGCTTGTTTGAAAAAATGAGATAATTTTATGGTCAGTGCCTGGTAATCAATAAAAGCTCTGAATAAAATATGAAAAGACTCACTATTTGGATACAAAACTAAAGGCAAAGGAATAGAATTTTCATAAGTAGAAAATGAGTTTCACTATCTCTACTGAAATATCTTGAATAAATATTTTCAATGCCTATTTCAATGTGTATCAGTTTTAAATGCAATACATCAGTGTTTATGTATTGTCCTCTTTGTGTGTTAGTGGTTCATTCATCCTTTCCCACTTCTTTCCTTTGTCCGACTTTCAAATACTCTCATCTTTCAATTATAAACAATCTGCACTAAAAAAAATAATAATAATCTACACTGCTGGCATTAAATGCATGCATGTTTTATGTCCACATTTATAACTGTGAAGAAAATAAAGATAAATTGTTAAATATAAAATTATATTACATATATGTGTACATATGGTATTCTTATATATTTCCATACCATACTATCCTTCTAGTAATAAAAATGACATCTCTCATTGAAGGAAATGTGGAAATAAATAAGTTCAAAATATTCAATGCCAGGTGTCCAGATATTTATTTTATTGATTCATAAATATTCACAATATGAGAAGATGTCATATGCACAAATATAAACAACTGTTTAATGCAAATAAATAACATAGTGAAGAAAATAGTCAAAAGGAATAAAAGCCACATTAGGGAGGGGCTATGAGAAGGGTTTCCCTAAATTCAAAGGGCCAGTGTAGGTATAAACCTTCTTATCAGTCTTTAATATATTGTCCATTTCAGAAGCAATCAAGTCATACTAGAAATCCATAGCAGTATTTTCCACCATTTCATTCTGGTAAAGAATTCTTCTCTAAGTTGCCAAAATTCAAAGGATATAAGCATACTAAATCTACTGAAGGCAAGTCCAGTTTCTGGGAGAAAAATGTGAATTCCTTGTACAATCATAGAAGAGTGAAATTCTTTTTTTTTCTCTTTTATCTCTCTTTTCTATGTTTTGGATTATCTTGGCTTTGATGGTGTATCTGTGGTAGCTTTCAACCACTTTGGATTTTTTCATAGGTGCATTTTGCTTGGGTCGTGGTGATATTTTGGGTAATGGGTATTAAGGAGAAGAGTTAAATTCTAAATCAAGCTTTCACACACTCAGTATCATGTTGTTTCTATATTTGCCTATTTACCTCGATCATTTTGCTTTACATATAATTTTAATCAATATTTATAAAAATGATTCACCTGTATCTTAAATGATTCTTCTCCTTGGCACTCTATTTACTTAATGAATTCCCCTGGGCCACAAAAAGCACAGATAAAATAAGTCCAGTTCCATTTCTATGGCGTAGATAGAGAAGAACATTCCATATTTTCTATTTTTCAGAGCAGCGTTTGTAGGAAAATATAGCAGTCCCTGAACCTAAGGAAAATACTACTTACATTTTATAGATGTATTATCAAAGAATTACAAAATACTGATTTTAAATGATTGCATGAATGGAAAGAAAAATGATTTAATAAATAAGTGTTTTGTATTATATGAAAAGAGGCAAATGGAAGAGTACTAGTCAACCCAGGTGTAGCTGAATTTGTACATTGGAGTTTGAGTGAGAGATGAAAAGCAAGAAAGAGTTGTATTGTAATAAAATGTTGTCAGCATTTTATAGTATCAGGAATGAAGGGCATTGAGAGTCAAAGAGAATTATACTCCCTGAGAACCATGAAAAAGTTAAATCAACACACTTGTTTTGAAAGAACAATAGAAACCAAATATTTTGCTAACTCGATTTACCAGCTCTGAAATTTTGTAAATGTTTAAGCAAATCAGATGATAAAATTTGAGACTAAATCATCAAGAAGACTCAGGAAGTAAGTAAATTTTTTATTCTTCAATATACATATCTTCATTTTACTCAAATGTTTTAAGAAATCGTGTTTGTATATATGTTTAAGGATTTACAACTCTTTCAATACTAAAAATTAAACAATTGCTTACTACCAAGAGACTATTAATGAAATCCTAAAGTAGGAACACAGAAATCAATCTTGGATTGTTCATTTTTTTCTAATTTGAAATTGTGTTCTGTTATAAGACAGAGTTATTTTGAAAATTCCCTATTGGAAAGAATATCTGCTTCCTGGTTAATATTATCTTGACCATCTACTTTTTCATTTTCCATAACTGTATTGTAAAAAAAAAAGGAAAAGAAAAGAAAAAGATTATGCATTGTATGAATTAAACTATTTCTAGGCAATTACTTAATTTAGTAATAGAAGGTTACCTTCTTGTCCTTCTGCCTTTTTATTAGTAAGGCAAAAAAAAAATATATGATAAGAGGATGATAGCATCAACCAAAGCTTGAGAAACTAATTTATGAGAGAATGCCAACAAAACATTCTCATGGATAAACATGCACGTTCTACACCAAGAAGATTACTGTGCTGACTAATTGTTTAATCTTGTGAAAGTTTCCTAGACTATGTGGGCCTCAAAATATAAAATGTGGAGGTAGGCCTAAATAACCCCTGTGAGACTTCAAACGCTCTATTTAGATTATCCATAATCTGGACTACTTTTTATAATACTGAGGAAAAGAAAAATATCAATTAGAATATTTTCATGTTTTTTACAAAAGGAGCTAAATATTTTAAAGAATAATTAGAATCTTAATTTAAAAAATTAGAATAAATAGCTTCTGCTTAAAGTCAGAGCAAGATTTTTTTATCCATGGCCCATGACAGTGTATTTTCAACAAAAAGAAATCAGGATTTAACTTCAAATAATATGTATTACTTGAATGTGAGGTCCAGTAGAAATTGGACAGAGTTGCTGAAAGAAAACATTTGTTTTTGGATTTCACAGATTATTCATCATCATGGATATTCTTAAGATTCTATATCCTAACCTCAATCCTGTTTTAACTTTTTTATGTCCTAAAGGGGAAAATACATTTTCCATTCTAAAGGGGGGAAGAAAGGATCAGCAATGAAAAACCACACAGTACCCACAGAATTCATTCTTCTGGGGCTATCAGATGACCCAGAGCTTCAGATTCTGATTTTTCTCTTTTTAATTATCACATATATATTAAGTGTCACTGGTAATTTGACCATCATCACTCTCACCTTGGTTGACTCCCATCTACAGACCCCTATGTATTTCTTCCTCAGGAACTTCTCTGTATTAGAAATGTCCTTTACAACTGTCTGTATTCCTAGATTTCTGGTCACAATTATCACCGGAGACAAAACGATTTCATACAATAATTGTACAGCTCAGTTGTTTTTCTTCATCTTCATGGGAATAACTGAGTTTTATCTTCTAACTGCCATGTCTTATGACCGCTACGTGGCCATCTGTAAACCCTTGCATTATACAACCATCATGAACAAAAGAGTCTGCATTTTACTTGTCTTTTGTGCTTGGCTGGCAGGATTCTTAAATATCTTCCCACCAGTTATTCTTTTTCTCCAGTTAGATTACTGTGGCTCCAATGTCATTGATCATTTTACTTGTGACTATTTTCCCCTCTTGCAATTATCGTGCTCAGACACGTGGCTCCTCGAAGTGATTGGTTTTTACTCTGCAATAGTGATTCTGCTTTTCACTTTGGCATTAATAATTCTGTCCTACATGTTCATCATTAGAACAATTCTGAGACTGCCCTCTGCCAGTCAGAGAAAAAAGGCATTTTCTACATGTTCCTCACACATGATTGTCATTTCCATCTCTTATGGAAGCTGCATATTCATGTATGCCAACCCTTCTGCAAAAGAAAAGGCATCACTGACCAAAGGAGTGGCTATTTTAAATACTTCTGTTGCTCCTATGATGAATCCGTTCATATATACCCTGAGGAACCAGCAAGTAAAGCAAGCCTTTAAGGATACTATCCAAAAGGTTATATTTTTCTCCAGTAAATGAAAGTATGAGTAGTATTCAAAGAATGAAGTTCTTGTAAATACTATTATTCACACTTTCTTAAACCTCCCTTTCCTTTACTAGAGTTATGTATTTTCCCCTTTTTTTTTCCATTCCCATAGTAAAGTTTCCCAATCACTGAACTCAGTAAATTTGATAAACTGATTATTGTTTCAGAATTTTCTGTAAATTCAAGTGTTTTATTCAAATGTATTTGGATGAAGTAATACAATTGGGTCAATGATTATGATTTTGAATGGTAGTGGTTTGCCTTTGAAGAGACACTGGGCATTTAGTTTGATGGAAAGAGCGTCAGGACAGGTGCGGATTTCTGAACTTTTCATTCTTACCCAGTAATAGAAATGAATGTTATTAGAAAATTTTGATTCTATTTGTCATTTCCATGAAATCAAATAAACACAATCACCAGAGGACTGGGAATAAAATATAAATATCTACTTAATATATTAAAAGATTAGAAACTCAGACATATTAAAAATATTTATACTATTCATAATAATTATGATGCCAATGAGGAAGAAGAAAAGGAAGGTAGAAGGGGGTCGAAGATAACAAAATTTTTCAGCAATTCCTACATTCTAGATCTACTGTTTTCTTTGTATTGACTCATTTAATCCTACCAGCAACTTTATGGGGTGCTTAATTATTAATCTCTCCTAGTCAGAGGTATTTTTCTTTAGGTAGATAAGATACCTCCAAAAATTAAGAAATAGAGAACAGACAATGTAAAATATATCAAATGTATAAAAATGGATAAAACTATGATAAACCAGTGGAAGTTCACCTTTCTGGAGAACCGAGCTTTAAATTTGTGGCATCTGGAACTGACTTTAGGTTTTTAGGAAATATGGAAGAGAAATAACGTCTATTGATAATATTCCATACACTCTACTTTGTATTAAGCAAATCACATGCAGTATTTATTTTACAAAACCCCTTAGAAAGTGAACATTATTACTTCTAATTTGTAGGTGAATGAACACAATGAAACTGAGGTTGAAAGTTCAATGTACAGAGATTGCAGCCTTCAGAACTGGGATTTTAATCACTTTCCTTTAATCTCAAAACCCAGACTAGTTCGGTTACTTTCATCTTCACACTGACTTTCATTTGTAATAATTTATGAATAAAAGCTCACATTCAATATTAGAACTGTTACATTAAAGGACTTTCTAATGTGTAATGAACTCATTTAGGCTTTTACTTGTGGCAGGCTTTGGGGTTATACTGATGAAAAAGGAGGATCCTTGCTCTAAATAATCTCAGATTCTAGTGGGAAGAAAAAAATGTAATTAAAATTTAATTTGATAAATGCAGCAACTTAGGCATGAGTAGCCTATAGGCCAGGTATAATGTTATCATTGTCAAAGAAAATGTCAGTTTTCCTGCCTTTTCTCTTAGCACAATTATGGTCAGTTTCACAATAATTGCTGAAATTTGTTCTTTTAAACCCTAAAGTCACATGCAGACGACAAACCTTGTCTGCTTTGGCTGTCATCTTAGTTTTCACTTTTATTTTATTTCTTGGTCATTATCATATATGTTTTAAAAAAGTTACATTGGGGCGCCTGGGTGGCTCAGTCGTTAAGCGTCTGCCTTCGGCTCAGGTCATGATCCCAGGGTCCTGGGATCGAGCCCCGCATCGGGCTCCCTGCTCGGCGGGAGGCCTGCTTCTCCCTCTCTCACTCCCCCTGCTTGTGTTCCCTCTCTCGCTGTGTCTCTCTCTGTCAAATAAATAAATAAAATCTTAAAAAAAAAAAAAAGTTACATTATTTCCTCAGTAAAAAGGGTTTTTGGGAATAGGATTATGATATTCTCCAAGACTCTCCAGCAAGACTCCCTCTACCCTCAAACTGCATTGTGAATCATGCATTCATCTTACGCTCAGTTTAACCTGTTCCCACTCCATATCTATTACTCTCTCAGATCTATTTGAAAGAATTTATATCAGTGACCACAGTCTAGATTTCTAAGGCATTTATCACTTTACAGTAGGAAACACTGAGATATATTTGTCAAATTAAATCCATGCACTAACAAGGCAAACTAAAAGAAAAGCCAATAACAATACTTAATACCTATATGTGGATAACTAGAAGCAGAATAGGAAACTCACAAATATAATTTCTTCCTAATTTTTATAGTGAAAATCATTCAGATGTTATTTCTAAAAAGACTTTCAAAGCATCTACATTGCAGGCATGTGCTAGCCATTTGGATTAATAGAATAGATCATCTCCACCTTATAAGACTTCGAGCAACAGATTAAAAAGGTAGACATTTAGATATGGAATTAATCTTTTATAAAAACAGACACCCAGGGCCATATGAATATAAAATCTGGGATTGCTCACAACATTTGCAGTAATGCAGTAAGAATTCCACGTAAAAAGATGAAATATAATTAAATGGATATTCTGGGCAAAGAGAATAATGATTGCAAATAACACAGTTGTAAAAGTGAGAGAAGTGAATGGTGAATCCTGTGGATAGAAACAGAAAACAACAAGTAGCCATTACTTCTCTTTTATGCTTTCCATGAAAAGCTAATTTTATTGATTCAATTTATCATGCACAGAAAAAATTATGCTATAAAACCAATACTCATGTTCCTCATATGAATATTATATATTTTTTAATGGTAGCCCTAGGGTTTATCAAGGTGTGCCCTAATACAGGTGCTGGGGCTTGCCCACAAGGCTTTTGATGTATAAATCCCAGACCTCCTGCCAATTCTCCTTGAACAACAACACCTGGAAATTGACAGCTAAGAGGATGCTGTACACAAGCTCATCATCTGCCACCTTCATGTGGCCAATAGCCACAGCCAGACACAGCACCTTCTTCATTTGCAATTGGATCGTGGACTTCACTTCATCCACTTTGGCCCCCATGTCCTCATTGTGGGTCAGCATGGAAAGGAACTTGCCAGCCTTATTCAGGCCTGGACCCAAAACTTGTGGGATCTGCTTGATCAGAGATTCTGAAGCCAAAAAGGCACCACACTTCTTGGCCAGCTTCTTGACTAATTTTTTATTCTTGTTGAGTTTCTTCAGTGTGTCAGTGTCCATGTGGGGAATATCCACAATCTTGGCCTCATCACAGTGCTGCTGTTCCCCCAAAACTTGGGGCAGGGAGTGGACTTAAGCCTAATGGTGCCTGAGAAGCATTTGTCCTTCTGAGGGTCATAGTTCTTCAAGCTGATCTGCAGCTCCCCCATCTCCAAAAACTTCTGACACTGGCGCTGGTTCCTGATCAGGACTTCCCACACCACCAGGACAGGGTGTCACTTGCAGACTTTGCTGCTCATGATGCCTCATGCTCAATAACCAGATAAAAGAGCAATGCCTCAATAACCAGATAAAAGAGCAATATTATATGATTTAAATTATACCTGTGTTAAACATTTTTTTGGTGTTGTTGTGTGTGTGTGTGTGTGTGTGTGTGTGTGTTGTGCATGTGTTAAACATTTTACCTATGCCCCTAAGATATTAACAATCCCTTTAAGTGGGTATGCTTTTCTCCTCCTTTTAGAGAATAAGACAGATATTCATAGGAAACAAATAATGTATATATGGCCAATATACATTGGAACAGTGATTCAGATCAAAGCTATGCCCCCCAAAGAAGCCACTGTACCAATTACTGGGGGAGGTGAGAAATGTTGCAATATAAGCATATATAAGGAAATCTTAGCATTTCAGAATAGGATGTTATTTCTTTCAAAAAAGTGCTTTTTTCACAAGAGTACTAAATAAGCCCATCTAAAATGCCAGTCTTGGTTTATGGGGATTTCTCTCCAAAATAACATATCTCAGAAAATTAAAAATTCAGAAGACAACTATTCCTTTGGAATTAAATTTAAATCCCTAAACTTAAATGCGGAAAATTACTTTCGCCTAAGAAACTCAGAATCCCAAACTCTTCCACTGGTTATCTCAGATATAACATATAGCTGTATGATAATATCATCTCTCATTGGCAAGAGTCTCTGTCGTTTCTGGATTGAGCACTGAGTTATCCACAGCAACAATAACCGCAGCCATAACCATAGAATATGGGATTGACAATTGATTCTCTCACTGATAGATAATACTTAGTCATTTCTGATTTGAGTCACAGTAAGCCTTTGTATTCTTTTTTTTTTAAAGATTTTATTTATTTATTTGAGAGAGAGAGAATGAGAGATAGAGAGCACGAGAGGGAAGAGGGTCAGAGGGAGAAGCAGACTCCCTGCCGAGCAGGGAGCCCGATGTGGGACTCGATCCCGGGACTCCAGGATCATGACCTGAGCCGAAGGCAGTCGCTTAACCAACTGAGCCACCCAGGCGCCCGCCTTTGTATTCTTAAACAGAGCTCTTTGGTGTTCACCAGGCCCTACCTCTATCTCTGATAGTAGATCTCCAATGCTAAAGTCCTCAAACTCACATTGCCCTTTTTTGCTCCCTCTATGTAATTGGATGTGTATTGTTATAATTTACAGTCATATAGGATCACGTGAGCCTCATGGTACAGTATGCTTATCAATGTGATTAGAAGTTATCACAATATACTGGAATGTCATCTTTCTTGACTATATTAACAGCTTATGAGCATTTTGCTAGCAAAGGGAATACTTTGTTCATTATTGTCTACAAAAGGGCTTATTATAGTGCAGTCATTTACAAAAATATTTGTTAAATTAATCAACAAAAGGATGGAGGTCTCAAAAAGCCTTTTCCTATCTAAACTATTAATATCTCCTGCCTTGAAATTATCATTGCTCTGCTCTGATATCTTCTTTGAATAATTTTCTAAGACTGTGTTTTCCAGGACGCCTTGTTTTTCAGAGCCATGGACAGAAATCGCTATACACCTTCAACGATAGCAGCACCTCTCAAACTCCTTACTCAACAAACAGAAACTCTCTTTTCTTTTTACGTCTACCACCCAGGATCTCCACTGTGGACACATATAGGGCAAAATTCTATCTTTTAATCAGT